CCACATTATTACAACATTAGTGATCACATTGTACATTGGAAGATGAAATATTGTGATATTAATAAATGTGTTGATGTGGAATGTAATTTATCACTACAACATTGAGCATTGAAGATGCTCTTATGTTGCATTGCGCCAAATTTAATTTATGACATTATTCTTAATATTAGCACTATATACATTTTTTAAAAATTGTTTTTAATATTGTTCTCTAGGGCCCAGTAATAAATTCACTTTTAATATTGTTATCTCATATATTTCACATTATACATATTATATATATTATATTATATATATAAATAGAGAATCTATTTATAAGAAATAGTAACAAAAAAGTCAACTAGCATTTATTGTATTCTATTTTTGACAGTTTTTTAATTTTCTTTTTAAATTGTTCTAAAAAATTGATCTGCTATATATGCATCCTAAATTCATGAATTTTGTGGATTTAATTTAGGTAAATTTCGACCGATGCTTACAATTTTGCAGAAGTCAAAATTCTTTCTCATTTTTTATTAAAAAAAAAACTGATTATCATAAATTCGGGAATTCCGAATTAGGCAAAATACTATCGCATATATATTGTCCAAATTGTAACACATCAATTGTTTATAAAACAAAATCGGATTGCATAGAAATCGGGTTAATTGAGGCCAAATTCGACATGACAATTTTGTAAAAGTCAAATTTTTCTCATATTTTTATTAAAAAAATTGTTTACCATAAAATCGAGAATTTCTTATTTGGCAAAAAATTATAACATGTATCTTTAATTAATTGCAACAGATCATGTTTATTAAAGAATAAAAAAATCAGATTGCATAAAAATCGGACTCAATTTCAAATTAGAAATTAAAATTTAAAAATTCATTATCATTTGATTACGACTCTCTTTAGTTCAGATTTTTAAACATAAAACGGAGTCAAATAATATTAATTTGAAATTCAAAATGAAATCGGAGGAACATTCCAAAATTTTGAGTTTTGTTTAATCTTCTAAAATACAAATTTGAAATTGATTGCATACACTTACACAAACATTTCTTTCCTTAAATTAAGTAATTTACAATTTTAAAATAATAAGGGTATAAACTATCAAGAAAGACGTTTTACAATCTCTGTTATATTCGGCTATGAAATGCGTTACACAATGTACCAACAGACCAAACAAATAATGCTATATACAAGGATGCGTTCAATAATGTACAAGTTACATTTTGTTTTATTCTAATACATGTATTTTACGTTTTTCCAATCATCTATTCATGCAAAAATAAATGCTTACCTTAATAAAATTATTATGTGCATCGCACGGGTAACGCACTAATTACTTATCAAAGTGACTAAAACAACAATTTTACTAACTGCCATGTAACATGACACGTGACATCTATTAAATTCTTATCACACTGCATAAACATTTAATTATAAATGCCATAAAATTTAATTTTCTTTTTTTCCTACTATTTTTTTGAAAGTATAATATTTTAATTTATAAAAAATGTACTTATCTTGAAGAAGTTACCCCTAATTTTACCGTTTATTCAATTGTTGGAAGATGCTACGGTTTCGTTACGGAACTATTCCGTCGGGGTTTGCAACTGTTAGATCAACTATTTTAACGGTTACATGATGATCTAGCGATTACAATTCCCGACAGAATGATTCCGTAACGGAAAAGACCCTCCTTCTTCGATTAACTAAACGTTATTCTTAGATCTTGTTCGTGAGATCGAAAAAAAGAAGAGATTTCTAGACTATTGGAATTTCTATGTATATTAAACTATTTCAATTCCATATACATAATTTGATTAGTTTCTTTTTCAGTTTCTTTGAGTGTCTTCTTTCTTATATATCTTTTTCCTTCAAAACAAATAATCAAAAACTCCAAATTCCCGCGAGTCAAAGTCAAAAGGACACTTCGAATATTTTTCTATCGAGTCTTATCTCTTAGAAAGGAATTAGATATATCGAAATTGATCTTGATCTTGAGAAAAATAATGTAAATAGCTCGTATCTTGTGACTTGGAAGAAAGGTTTCTCTGTAGAGAAAGGGAGTAACACTTTATTCCTATATAAAATCCTTACCATTTCTCTCAATTGTTAGCATATTTCTTTCTGATCATATATTCATATCTCAAAAAGTGAAGAAAACCCGTAAAATGTTTTAATTTAATTAATAAATTTTTATCTCTTTCTCTACGGTAACTTCACCTAAAAGTTAACTTTCTCAAATAAACCCTGTCAAAACCCCCAAGCCCCCTGCAATCCCAAACCCTAAAATTGGAAAAAACTGATGATGTGTGCGTTAGCCCGATCATCATGCTCGCGTCTGCTCTCAATCATCTCGAGGAACAACAATCGTAGATTTTCCTCGGCCGTTACCTCAGGACCACCGAAAGAAGCAATCATATCCTCCTCTATTCTCGGTGATCAGCCTCCGCCACCTCCAACGGGTCCGCCGCCTCCGCCGCCGGCGTCCGGGATAGATAAAAATTCGTGGAGCGTTCTTAAGTATGGTCTCACCGCTGCCATCACGGGTGGTGCTGCTACCGCAGGCTATGCTACCTACGGTACTTAGTACTTCTTAACCTTTTTTTGGGTTGCCTTATCACATTGATAAGTATACTTCTGATTTTTCGACGGACTGAGTGAAAATCCATCTTGTCAGTGTTGATGCGAACTGTAACTATGTATATGCCGGAATATCACATTGGTGGCGACATGGATGACTATATGGATGGTTTTTTTGTTGTTTATCTGAATGTAAATTTTAGAATAGGTCGCAAATTGACTTATAAGTGATTTCTTTGTTGAGTTTGAAGCCGAGATTCTTTTCCTGAATTTTCTGCTTCATATACTCATGCATGTTAATGTTATAACTTCATAAAACATCTTAGTTTGTTTTCTGTTTGTTTTTGGATTATGTTTTCAAAATCTTAAAAAAATGTTGTATATGAATTATTTTTCTGTATTTCCTTAATGTTGTTGAATCTTACTTTAAGGCTGGGTGTGTCAACATGAGAAAGTCCTGGCCAAAGAATATTAAAGTTTCTGAACTTACTCTCAATTTGCTTGGTGCTGTAAAGTCCTGGCCAAGACAGAATATTAATAACAGATTCTCTTTGTTATTAACTTTATACATATTAGCCATTTCATTTCCAGGGTTTGGTTTTGGAAATGAGGTTCTCTTCATGACTTTTCGACTTAGTTGACGCTTTAGTATCAATAAATGTCATGAGATCCTGTCATTGGTATTTTAAGTTTCCTTTCTATTTATTATAATTCGGTTCATTCCTCTACCAATTTTTTCCTTGGGTACATTTGGACAAGAGTGCTGTTGTATAAGACCTGATCGGTTGTTGTTGCTGATTAAATATTCATAATTTCAGCCTTTCAGTTATGATATGAACATATCATCTTGCTTTTAAGTATTAGTTTTGAGGACTAAAGGCTAATAATATTCGAGCCCCCAGTATGTGTTAGGTCGAAGTTTCGTTTGGATAATTTCGATGTTGGTGTTATTGCAGCATACTCATTGGATGAAGTTGATGAAAAGACTAAGGCCATTCGTGCATCTGCAAATTTCAATGTTGGGGATGATGGATCTTCTTTTGATGTGCGTCGGACTACACCCTTGTTCTTTGCTTTTTCCTATTTATTTGTTCTCACAAGTCATACTTCTCAATAAAGTTTTTAGTATTGAGCTCTAAAAGTAGTGTTTGTATTTACATTAGTCCTAGCTTCTCTTTTAGCATTATTCATCTGGAGCTGCGATGGGTTCAGTAAGTGTACTTGTGGTAGTAATGACTGGAAACATGGACGAAAGGAAATCTTATTTGGAATTAGAGGTAGTTGAGATGTGATTTAAGTGCTTTTCAATGTGTACATTCTGTGTTCCGGTTTTGCCACTCAAGGATTGGTTGCTCAACCATAGAATATCATGCTGTTCTTTGTTTTAAACTCTTTATGCAGTTTTAGTATGATGACATGACTCTCTTAATAATGTTGGCTCACGGGCCCAGTGCTTCACACAATATAAATAGCCCAAGTTTATCTTCGATTCCTTTCTTACAAAATGGCACATTTCATCCTCTTGTAATGCTAATTCTGTCCTTTATTTAATGCTATGCTGATTACTTTGTAAGCTTATACTTACACACACCTTCAGTACTTCCCTCAAGTTAGATGAAGTAAATCATAGTATCGTACACTGCAAACATGCGAACAATATGTTTGGTTCTTGTACCCGAGTACCTTTTTGATGTAAAAAGTTAAACCCCTGGAATGTATCTGCAGTCTGCACAGAATTGGCTCCTGAGTCTTGACCTCAATATACTTTGTAATTTAAAGGGCTCAAAATGGTTGGTGGTAAGATGATTGAGTAGAACAAAAATGGGTACAGTAGCTGGCTTGAAGTGTACGCAAACAGGGTTCTTTGGCATATGGATTGTGGTAGTACTATGTGATATAATATGACAGTTACCAAGTTTAAGTAACATGCTATACTGCCATTATCTAAAGATTAACTGTCATGATAGTGTATGAACAACCTATATGATCACAGAATTTTCCTCCGATGTCCAGTAGGTATATGGGTACAAGCTTGAGCTAACTGTTTGAAGCCTTTTATTTTTTGTGCAGAGATTTAATGCGTATTTACGTGCAGCTGCAATGACAGGTGAAATTCTACTTGTTTTGTTATTTCTCTTGACTGCATGTAACTGGATATTCATTATTTCTCAAATCATATATGGTTGTTTTCAGATTTCCCATTGATATTTATCTTATATCTCGTTGGGTGTTTCCTTTGTGTGTATGTTTCAGTGCCTGCTAAATTAGTAGAAGCATACCTTGATTTAAGGAGGTTAGCTGAAGAACATGTTCGGGTGAGCACCTAATTCTTCCCTGTCAGAATTATTTTGAGATGTTTAGTGCTATGTGTCATTTTAGCGCTATTCACTTACTGACTTTGTTTCAGGGTTTTACTGAACCAACATCGGATAAGCTCCTTCCAGATTTGCACCCAATGGAGCAGCATGTTTTTACAATCGTTCTTGATCTAAATGAAACATTGATATATTCTGATTGGAAGGTATAACTTATTAGCCCAATTCCGATTTTGTTGCTGATGCTAATATATAAGAATTCTTTTATTAGAGGTGGCCCCCCTCCCCCCCTCTCTCTGTGTCTGTCTGTGTGTGTTTGTGACTGATATTATTATTATTATTATTATTTTTTCTCATCAATTCTTTTCTTTCTTGCCCTGTTATATTGCTAATCAGACTGGATAATTTTAACTTACCGTTATTTTTTTCCATTCATCAATTTAAAGCGTGACAGAGGGTGGAGAACATTCAAGAGACCCGGTGTAGATGCTTTCCTCGAGCATTTAGCTCAATTTTATGAAATTGTAGTATACTCTGACCAACTAAATATGGTGAGTCTTCACATGTAAAATACGTGGGGAAATTGTTGCGTTCTAATTTCATAGTACTATCCGGTTTTCATTCTCTTAGATGTATATACGGTATATCCATGAAATTGCAGTATGTTGATCCTGTTGCTGAAAGATTGGATCCAAAGCATTGTATCCGTTATAGGCTCTCAAGGGGGGCAACAAGATATATAGATGGCAAGCACTACAGGGTACATTCATTCACTTTGATTATAGGAGTGCATATGTTGTACTATGTTTGTACCTTTTATACAGCAGTCATGTCCTTAAATTCAAGAGTTCCAGATTTTTCCTTTATCAATTATCCTGCTATCTGATTTTATCTTCTTTTTCCTGTATTTAAATAACAGTTAATTCCGTGGTTAAATGATGACTTACCTTCACATTTGAATATTACTCACATAGCTTCTAAGACTCTTTCACCTACATCGTTTTCAGTGTGATAGCTGCACTAAACTAGTTCCAAGACTTGAATTAAATAATTGAATACAGCATGATCAACTTATTGGTGGCTTATTTCTTTGATACTTTATAGATATTAAATCATATGTCTCTTTACCTCACACTGCTCCAATTAGAACTTTTTCCCATTACCTTTTCAGCAGGCTTATTCTGAAGAAGCAAAAACTCTTCAGACTATTATCATTTCTATACATATATATTTGTATGTATGTAAGGTTCAACTGAAATAATTGTTGTTTTTGGTAGTCTGTAACTTCTGCTTTGTATCGATCATGCCAACTTATGAAGTTCCAATGTTTTGCAAAACAAAAATCTTCGATGGAAGAGCATTTACTTCGGTTTTAAGATGTGGAAAAAATTTACAGCTTGCTGGGTTTCTTGTCAGGCAACTCTAGCCTGTGTACACCTCATTTTTTTTTTTTTTTTTTTTAATTATTATTAATATTATTATTATTATTATTAATAATATTATTATTTTATCTTTTATTACTCTTATCACAAGATTTGATTGAGATAAATGACATTTCTCTTCACTGTGGTGTATATGGCATGTTTACCTTTTGCATTTTGGTATGCTGATCTTTCCTGTAGCTAACTAATTCATGTATGAAGCTTCTTCAATCACATCTCTCGCTGTAGGATCTGTCAATGCTGAACAGGGATCCTGCAAAGGTTCTATACATTAGTGGCAATGCTCTAGAAAGTAGTCTTCAGCGAGAAAATTGTGTTCCAATAAAAGCATGGCAAGGAGAAGCAGATGACACTGCACTTCTAGATCTTATTCCATTCCTTGAATGTAAGCATTCAATATGTATTCCAATCCTTGGAACACACTGATCCACTTAATGATTTTGGGGATATAAATTTCAATGCTTCTGTTTAAATGCATAAAGCTGGCCACGTTTGATTTCAGATGTTGCCAAACACCGACCATCTGATATCAGAACTGTTCTAGCTTCTTATCAAGGGCGTGATATTGCCAAAGAGTTCATTGAGAGGTCAAAAGAGCACCAGAGGTTTGTTTATGTTCAAAATCTATTTTCAGATCACATCATTCCCATGGTTTTGGTTATCTCAAATGTTGACTTGTACCTCCCTGTGTGTGTGAGAGAGTGTGAGTGTGTTATGTCTAGAGCCTTTGAGGAGTATGTAATTGTCTATGAATTCCTGAATGGGTGGTGTATAGTTTCTTTTGTCTGACCATTTTTATTCATGAAAGTCACCATTGATTTCCTGATAAAACTTGAGGATATGTGAACCTGGAGTACTAGTGAAAAGAAGACGTGAAAAACAAAATATGTGTTCTTATAATTTGCGTGGGTTACATCAATTTATGATTTTTTTTTTTTTTCTCATATTTAGTAGTTTTTCATTTTGAGAATAATGACTCTGTTTGAATACCATTCCTCTTATTGTGCAGGAGAATGCAAGAGCAAAAGCAACAGGGCCGCCTCTGGAGACGTTAGAAATATCAAGTGTACAAGTTCGTTTTAATGATGAGCAGCGTCATTTGCAGTTCTCTGTGTTTCTTATCACTAATGAAGTAGTTTTCCCTTCAATTAGATATAATTTTTTTGGCAGTGAGATTAAAATGATTTCTGTTATTCAGCATACTGAGGTCTATTATTTCTTAATGCGATGTAGTTTTGATTTTAATTTTTTCTGTTAATAATTCTCTTCCCATTGGAAAATACTAATGTCTGCGTTTCTCTTCAAGATTCCTAATTCCCTTTAGATAGGCCTTTTATTTATCCAAATACAAAGGTTGAATGAGTTTTGCTTCACAAATACGCATAGAAAAATGCCAGGAATGGTGGTGTTGTGGTCCCAACCGAAGTGACTTTTTTGTGAACGGTAATCGATTAACGAATTGATATCGGTTTGGTATCGTTTCTAAACCCCTAAAGTTCGATTAAATCAAATTGTACTGAATTGATAAAGATTAAAAAAATAACATTAGTTAATTCTAAAATAATAGTCAGCTAAATTACTTAACCTTAGTTAAATACTTAGTTAAATAAATAATAGATTAGGATACAATAATACATAATTTAATTAATCAGTTTAAAAAAATTAGGGTCATGTGAGAAGGCCATATTATTATTATTATTATGATTATTATTATTATTAAATTAAACAAGTCTTATTTTTATTATGGTGGACTGAATATTTGGGCATATGTATGATAGAAGGCCGTGCAACTTGCTTTATTGTTTCTAAAATACCAGTACTCAATACCAAAACTCATATGTATTGTGAATCTTATATATGAATTGAAGATATGATGGGATTATTCATTCAACACATAGTGCTTGTTGAATACTGTTGTTTTTCCTTTTAGTTTTCAATTTTTTATCTGTACAAAACCGAAACCGAACTGTGATTTCAGTAACCGAAAATCGATTACCGATTTCTATTCAGTTCGATTTTAGTTTTGCATTTTTTGTGTTACCGAACATATTGGTTCGGTATCAATTTTTTCTTATCGATTCGATACAACCCTAACCACACCCATGGTATGATTTACTGGGTCGTGTGATTGCAAATTGCAATCATGAAAAGCCGAACACCAATCAAAGGATGGTAGGGTTATTAGTGATTGAAATGGTTTATGGTTTAACTAATTAATTGGTCATAACTTTTTAAAATTGTAAAAGTTACATTGTTCATCACATTTATATGTAATGATTAATGTAGAAGTAAAATAATTTATAACCATATTATTTTCTTTTATTAATAATCATATTTATAACATCAGATATATTAATTATCTAAGTTATAATTATAAATATAATCCTCCCTATATATAATTTTCGAATGCGCTGAGCCTACGTGGCTGCTTCTGGTGCTTCGGAATCCTACTTGGCGAAGAATCATGCTTCGTAATTAGATTTGGAGAAATAATATTGATATATTAATAAATAATAATCTAGGTTCAGACATTCCATAAATATTATTTAGCTAACTTAAATATTTTAATATCCATTGTATTAATATAACCCTTTAATTTTTGGTGTAATTTTACATAGTGAGGCACTAAGTGACTAATATATCCCTGACTTTTGATTTGTTTCCTCCAATTAGCTATTGAATTGTAAATGTATTTTAAAAGTTGATAACTTTTGTATTTCTTATCGGTTTTACATATATAATATATCAAATTAATCATCTTTTGATGATCTTCGATTTGACATCTATATTGTATATATGAAATAAATAAATTATATTTATCTTTATAATAATAAAAATAATAATATTTATTAAAATTCATTAGAAAAATAAAATTATTTCTCAGTTGATATATTTATATTTAATGTAGTTATTTGTTGTAAGTTAAAAAATATTATAGTATAACACATGTAAGTCGCACAAATAAAAAGTGTCATACTGACTATATAATAATATATATATTTATAAAAAAAGTATTTAAATTTTCAAATATTTTTTCTCATTAATTTTATATTTTAAAAAAAAAAATTAGCACACACCCGTGTAATACACGGGCGTTGTACTATTTATCTATAAATATAACTTATAATATTTTATTTGCATAGAAACATATACTAGCTGCCTATAATATTTTGAAGGTTTCAAAACATAAATATTAAATACTCATCATTTAATTTATTTTGGCGAATAAGACGCAATACCTTCCATTTTTATTATTTTTAAGCTTTTTTGGCACAATTGTGTTTGTTTGTGTACTGTACTGCACGATATCATTTTCCTAATTAATTTGTACTTTTTGTCCTAATGACGAGGTTTATTTTCCTAATTAATCTGTACTTTTTCTCCTAATGACGCGCATTCTCGTTTGCAGTACAGTGCTCTTCTCTGTTGATTCTCACGCTGTGGTACAATTACAAACAGTTGACATTTAATTAACCATAACCACAAAACTCCATTATTTATATACCCAAAACATGGGCCAAGAACTGTTCTGTTTGCAGAACATCAAACCCCATGGCGCGTCCCCTTCTGTTCCTCGCCGTCCTCCTCCTCTTCCTCGTCCTCTCCGCCTCCGCCCACGGCGACAACTCCGATTCCGACGCCGGCGAAGAAAAACCCCACCTGAGGTCCCGGTCCCTGATTCTGGTCAAGATTTGGTGCTTGATACTTGTGTTCGTGGGGACGTTCGCCGGCGGGATGTCCCCGTACTTCATGAAATGGAATGAGGGTTTTCTGATACTGGGGACGCAGTTCGCGGGAGGGGTTTTTCTGGGGACGGCTTTGATGCATTTCTTGAGCGATTCGAACGCGACCTTTGGGGACTTGACTAGTAAAGAGTACCCGTTTGCTTTCATGCTCGCCAGCGCTGGCTATCTGCTCACTATGTGGGCCGATTGCGTTGTTTCTCATGTTTATGGCAAACACGGTGATGGTTCCGCTAACGGTACCGCCGGATTTCAAGGTAAAGGTGTAGTTTTTTTTATTTTTTTTTTCCTCAAAAAATATATATATATCCGAGTTTGGTGCTGAGGAGGAGATGTTTAATTATTGGGAAGTTTTATACTTTCTTTTACCTGATTTTTTTCTATTGAATTTCCTTTCTTGGAAGGTGATGTGTGTCGTGTGCCTGTTGATCAATAGTTATTTGTTCTGTCATGGTGAAAGTTTAAACTTCTAAGTAGCAATTGTATAGGTGGCCACTTTTTATAATATGAATGTTTGGTGCTTTATAGTCCTGACTGATGGTAGTTCCTTTTGAGGAATAGATGATTAAGAATTCCGTATGTAAAGTGGAGAAGATGTTGGCCTGTAGCTTATCGGTGATTTGTCGATTTCACTCAAAAGTATTGAAGATTTTTATAAGACTTGTTTAACTGGAAACATTTTTGTGCTGAACATTTTTTGTGCTGTATTTTTGTTCGCCTAGTTGTGCTTTGCCTTATAGATCTGACTTGGCCTGAGCCCTTGTTTGTTCTGTACCTATCATGTAGTCTGTGGCGATTGTTTTGTCAGTTACTCGAACACTAAACAAACATATCATCAAACTAATTGTCTTACGGGCCAATAGAAGAATTTGGAATGTAAGCATAGGATACCATTTGTGAGGGTAAACCTCAGCTTATTGTATGTGGAGGTATTACAGGTAGATACATGATCCCATTAGTTGGATAGAGACAATGCAAGATATAGCTCCTCATCACGCGTTCCTGTCACATTTTGTTGCTATTTCCTCATTGAATCTGAGATGTTGGTGCATATGTTGGTTGATGGCATATGCATCACGACCCAGAGTTTCAACCATAAATAAGAGTACAAGTCTTCTGATGACAAAAAAAAATCGCATCTAGAATGGTGATGTATAAGTATAACTCCTACAAATAGGCTTTTATTCTATGATTTTGTCTCTCTACTTGTCGATGTATTCTTTTGAATCTTCGTCAAAAAATTGAAGGGAGATGTGTGAAGCTGTGTGAGTAGCTTTGGTAGTGATCCATCATCATCAAGGGCAAGCCAGGGGTGTTATGTAATTCCCTAGAAGGGAACATTCATTGACTTTCTTGTGATTTGGATATTAACACAATAGCTTGTTGGGAAGTTCTGAATCATGTCAAGTTGATTTTCCCTATGTGTTACGGCTACTAACAAAAGGAAAGGTCCTTCATCTTTTGAACTGGAAGAAAAAAAAAAAAAAAATCAAAGGCATGTAAGGCTTTTAGCTGGGACTCAGCCCGAACCACTTTGATTGAGCTGCATCCAATCTGTATCCAAGAATATTCTCTCATTAACAGCATTTATAACTGCATTTTCCCCTTGTTTCAGTCGGTATGTCTCATGTCTCGTAAAATTCTCTTTGCAGGAAATGCTCATAGTGCAGCAGGCAACCATATTAAACAGAACTCGAGGGTAATGTCAGAAAAAAAAAAGAGCGGAAATTGCTCCATGATTTTGAATAAACACACATAATTTTCCATTTTCCTTAATTTTTTTAGCTGCCTTATGTTCTTCTCATTAGGACCAAGACCCAGAAAGCCGTTTGGCGAAATCTTCGTTGGCCAGAGCATCTTCGCTTGGGGACAGTGTCCTGCTAATAGTGGCCCTTTGCTTCCACTCGGTGTTTGAGGGCATAGCCATTGGGGTGGCCGAGACGAGATCAGACGCTTGGCGCGCCCTGTGGACCGTTTGCCTCCACAAAATATTCGCAGCCATTGCCATGGGAATAGCTCTACTTAGGATTATCCCGGACCGTCCTCTTCTGTCTTGTGTGGCTTATGCATTTGCTTTTGCTATATCGAGTCCAGTTGGGGTGGCTATTGGCATTATAATAGATGCCACGACTCAGGGCCCAGTTGCCGACTGGATATATGCGGTGTCAATGGGCGTGGCTTGTGGGGTGTTTATCTATGTTTCTATCAATCATTTGCTGTCGAAGGGGTATAAGCCTGAGAAAGAGGTCTCGTTCGACACTCAAGGGTATAGGTTTATGGCTGTCTTGTTGGGGGTTGGGGTAATTGCTGTTGTCATGATTTGGGATACTTAGTTCATTGCTATTGTTCATGTGTGTTTGTTTATGTCATATTATGTACTTTTTGTTTTTTTGGAATGATCATTAGGCTCAATTCTTTGTAATGGTTAAGGCAGTGAAGCATTTCTTGTTTTTGGTACAAAGAAGGAGGCCAAAGACCTAGGCTAAAACTAGCCGGGGGTACGCCACCCCAATGGTATCGTGTTGGAGCCATTCTCCTACCCCCGAGGTGGCGAAGACTGTATTTCTGTTACTCCACTTTCCTTGTCCATATTCTTAAATTCTAACATTGATAGTCACTTATTTGATTTGATTTTTTTATTTTTATTTTTAATAAACCAACAATAATTAATTATTTTGATATATCATTTCATTCTTTTTGTTCTTCGTTTTGATATTTCGTTTTACATCAAGGTCTCGACTTGTCACAAATATTGCGGTTGGAAAATCAGTTAATTAATACTGGGTATGATCCAATTTTAACTAATTCTTTTTTTATGGCTAAATATTTAATTCGTGTTATATTTTATATACAAAAATCTATGTTTTGAGTAGAAGCTCGTGTTATATTTATTATCTCAAAATTGATTTTCAGTGACCGAGAAATAAAAGAATCTCACATCGACTCTTAAATGAGGATAATTCTATTTATTCTAATAAAGAGATTAGAGACTGTTGGATTTTTGTCGTACGAATCAATCGCACACGCAACGGAATTTTAAAATTTTCTTACCAACAAGAAGATCTGGTTATAGCTATTCGATTCTGATCCTAGATCGCGAGAACTTACAGTTTAAGCTTTGTCTTCAACTATGGTATCCACGCAATCCAGATCCCGGTGCACGATCCAACGCAGTGAATCCCTTCTGGTGAAGACGCTAGGAATCCTCAGTCAGAAAGCCAAAGAGAGAGAGTTTGTGTTTTTACGGCGTATCTCAATTATCTGATCTCTTACTACTGATAAAGAGATACCCACCTATTTATAATTAGGCTAAACCTAATTATGTGGGCTTTAGGACAACCTATAGCCCAATAGGTAGTTGGACCTAATCCAATTAATGATTTAATTAAGTCTAAGTCCAATTTAAACTTAATTATATATTTTCTATCTAATAGAAAATAATCTCATTACTAAAATTAAATATTCCAATCTAATTGAATATTTAACACTCTCAATTCACTCTTAGCCGGAAAATAGATTGCATATTGTGTGACCCTATAGGCCTTCATATATTGACATAAATCTAATTTATGATCCTTACGAAACTCCTAGACTGCGTCGAAGGACGAACTCAAAATATGAAGTACGTTTACATAGACAAAGCAAACAAACTTTTAGTGTAGAATTCAATAGTGATACGGTCCCTTCATTCACGACCCACTCGATTAAACTTAGGACTTGAATGTGTGTCTATCCAAACAGCTTAATCATTTTATCTCATCCTACTGGTTGATTTTATCAATTACATTTGAACACCATTTCAAATATAATCATATGCACTGGCCAGTGACTTTATCAACCCAGTATAGAGAAAACGAGTGTTCTCTCGAAACTATATTCGAGGAATGAATCCCATCTTGGCTCAACTACCAATTCCATGTATATCATGATCTACCCAACACAAGCCCGTGTCTACCCATAAGGGCGTAAGCGTTGGACTAGGTCTAAGTAAATCACTCTATACATGAATTGCGTATTGACCTCAAGTCAAAGGACTATTACACCATTCTACACACCGTTACTCCCATAGACACAAACAAATGGTTTATCGGTAGGGTATACCAATACTCTCTAAAGTATTCATGTGTCCATCACGAATAACAATTATTCATAGTAGTGAGACATACTATATTCTCGAAGAATGTGATGCAGACCACATGTCAATCTATAACGTATCATTAATATCCCTTTCTTAATGATCATCGATTGAGGCAATTTAAGAGTTATACTCTATCGATTAACATTTCACTCTGTTAATGACAGTATTAACTCAAGGGAGTATTTAATTAATAAATTACAGACAATCAAAAGAATTCATTAATTAATGCAAAACCACGAATATCATCAAATATAATATGAATGTGATCAAGTACATTTGTCCCACATTGATTGTCTCTAGGACACATATACTAACAGAGACATCACAACAACTACAACAAAACTAACCAAGTGTTGGTGTTGATTTTGTTGGTCGGGATATTGAAAGTTTCGGTTTGGTTTAGACCAAAATCTAATTTGAATGAGAATCGAAATTAGTCATGAGTGTTCGCATTTATACTAGTATGAGTCATGTGCAGCGCACGAGTAAAAGATATTCATTAATATTTATAAATTAAACATTCTTATTAAATAATATTTATAAATTTAAAATATGGAATCAATATGTAATACAATTTACCTATATTAATTTATTGAAAATGTTATATAAAGTTTAAATTGTGTAAAATTACATATAAATGTCTATTTAAAATTTGTACACAACTCGTGCGGTGCACATAATTAATAATAAATTACATTAATTTTCTTTTTCAAAATAATTGTCATTTCAACTTAGAAATTGGATTTGACTATAATGTGCTTCCATAAAATAATTATTTTGGTAAAATTTTATCATATATTTAATAAGTCTAAATATAAAATTTATATTGTTTCTTTACTTAAAATAAATTTAATTTTGTATAAAACTATTCAAATTCAAATATAAAAAATAGTAGTTGAGTAATTTATTAAAATATAAATAATTGATTATTTCGTTTACGTCCAAGTTAATATGACACGTAAGTCATTGAGTAATATATTAAACAATAAATAATCGACTATTTTGTTTATTTCCAAGTTAATATAGACCCGTAAGTTATTAATAATTATTAAATCATACAACTAATAAAGGTAATAGTCGCTAGTTCTGTCAATATATTATATTCCAAATTTAAATCATGCAACTAATAAAGATAATAGCCGCAATATTTGACCAAAATGATTTTGTACATTAATTTAGACGAGATTTTTCAAATTTTGGCCAAAAAAAAATCTCAATTTATTAAATCTAAATTTTTAGGCGGGAAAACAAATATTTTTTTTTACTGAGTTTTAGTTACTATTTCAAGTAAATATCATTGCCTCTTTAAATATTAATAGATTTCAAATATGGTAATAGAAACTTTGTCTTGTTATTGATATTGAAAATAATATATTGTGACATTGTTGCACAAAAGATTATATTATCAGTTCATTTTACAATATAAATAAGGTTTATAACTGAGATAACCATGGACAAACCTATCGATATGGTTATAGCCTAATTTGAGTTAGTTTATCTTAACTAGTGAATTATTTTAGTACACTTTGTATGTATTGAATTTGAACTCAGAGAAGATATTTATTTTATACTAATTCAATATATAACTAGACTCCGCGATATCGCTCGTACTCTTAAGTCTTCTAATAATAAAAGATATGGAAGAAAACAATTTGAGAAATATGTGGAAGAAAGAAATTCTCGAGCAATATGGTGTGCGAATAATGTGATTGATTTTTAGATGTGAAATGTTTTGTTCATGTGTTTCTATTTATTTAATGAATATTAGTTATTAATTAAAACATAAGATAGAATGGATATTAAGGTATTACTAATTTGTTATTATAAATATGTCAAACTAAAAATTTTTTAGGTAGTTATTAATTAAAATATAAGACATGATAAATATTAACGTATTACTATATTTTAAAAAATACGTCAAAAAGTAAGAATTTTTAAGTAGTTTATTTTTTTACAAAACCACTCATTCTTTTATAATAATAATAATAATAATAATAATAATAATAATAATAATGTAAAAAATAAATATAGATTTTTATAAAAAAATCAGGTACATTTACTATTTAAGTTATGTAAGAGATTTGTTAGCTAGAAATGAGCGCATGCGCAATGACTAAAGCTAGTGGATTAAAGACCAAATATGTATGTTAAAATACATTACTGCCCTTGTGATTGTTTGTGAACCCTTCTCTCTACCATCTACCAGCCCCCATCTCTCTTCTCTCTCTCTCTTCCATCACAGACTACAAACAATGAGAGTCTCAAATTCCTGACAAAATTTATCAACTGCATTTCCTCTCTATCTCTAACTCCTCTTTCTTCTTACAGCCAAACCTTCTTGACGGAAGTGTAAGAGACCTTCAGTTTTTCTTTTTTTGCCTTTTTCTGAGGCCTCGGCCTCGGGCCGCCGTTTCTGGTTCTTGCAACTCGAGAGGCCTCACAAGACGAGAGACCCAGTTGCTGGGTTTCTTTCGTGTTCATCTCATGCCCGCCCATTTGGACTTTCTTGATGAATTATCTTCTTAACTCTGATAATAATAAGTGTTCCTGGATTTCTCAGAGGCCTCAGCTCATTTCTTGTTCTTTTTTTTTTTCTGATCTTATTTTACAATCTTCGGGCAGATCCGCGGATTTTTTCTTGGCGTGTTTTATCAGGACTGTGTGAGTACTGTCTCCTTTTGGGGGTTTTCGCAACATGTTTTGTGTTTGAGTCTTGACGGCGGCGTTCTCTTCCTGGTCAACTCAGACGAGGGGCGTTTAGGATATCTGGGCTTCCCCTCCTTTCCGCTTTTATGTTTTCTTTGTGGCCATATTAGTTTGAGCTTTCTTAATTAGGGTTCCCTTGGGAATCTGTTGATGGGTTCCCATAGGATGATGTAAAGGGTCCTTGAAATGTTACCGGCTATGGCTATCAACGAGCATTATTTCGTGGAGTGGAAAGAGCAATCTGTGTCGAAAGAGAGGGGAAACCGTGTAGTTCACTATTTCTTGAAGGATAATTCAGGGGAATCTATTCTTGCTGTTGTGGGTACAGAGAGGAGTGTTAGGCATATGTGCTATGTTGTTTCTGAAGAGTTCGTTAGTGCCCATGGAGCTGATAGCTCCATCCAAGCCGGATTTAGGTGGAGATCGAGGCGAGAGGTTGTGAATTGGCTTACTTCCATGCTCTCTAAACAACACAGAGGAGATTCTGCAAGTATGTTCTTGTTTTGCTGATGCTTAAGCACTTTATTTGGGCCCTTTTGATTTCTGGACTACTGTTTATCAGACTGCTGTCAGTAAATATTATACATTGTGCAGTGATTTTCTTGATTAACATCTTTACCAGGGACATTAGGACCGATTGAAAACAGATTTTGGAGAATTATCATTATCCTTTCTAAACATCTTTAGCTTTATGTAAGAATGGTTTAATTGTGAGAGAATATGTTTAGTTGATGCTTTATTCTTTGGCATGCTAACCTTTCCCTACTGAAATCAGTTTGTCCTGTCAGCCATTCGAAAGTGACCAGCTACTTCCTGTAGACAATGTTACGAGGTTTTATAATTTTTAAGTTTATTGCTCTCAAGCTTAAGTTTCCACATTGGTCATGTGTACCTTAAAAACTTCCTTTTGCGAATGACTTGTGAATATTATTGTTGCAAATTACTCCTGTATGAAGTTTATGTAGCTTTAGTGTTTCTTTGTTAATTAGGCAGTACAAATGTGCTATAACTATATTGATAAAAGATTGTGTTTTTCGTGATAGCAGTTTCACACAGAGATAACCCTACGTTGGAGGAAAATATTCAGCAGACTCAGACGCTTTTTCATAAGGTATATGTTTGTTTGGATTCATGTCCATGGACCATTTCATTTGAGTCCTTTTCATTTGAAGTACATACCACTTTTGTTTCAGGGTCATTTAGCTAAGAATTCGAAAGGTCATCATTTAGGCATTTCCTGGTCAGGCTCGGCATGGGCTTGTGGTAAACAGTTGAAGCATTATCCAGCATTTTGCCGTAATGGGATATCAATTGCAGTAAGTAGATTTTTCTAGCTTTCTTCACAACTGATCACTTGAAATGCCGTCATATAAACTTGAATGAATAGTTCTATTTTAGTGATCTTTCTGTTTCTGATAGTGAATTTAGATTGGTGTCTTATAGAAGGATATAAAGTTATTGTGGTTCTTTTAGTCCATCTCAAACACAGTCTCCTTCACATGTGTGCTCCAATTGGCTTGCTTGCTTCTTAGCTTGAAGTTAAGGTCATACGGGTGTGGGATTTACTTTCACATGTTTCGGTACATGAAAAGTTTTCAGCATGGTTAAGATGTGCCAAGCACTCAAGAAAAGATTTTGTTAGCTTTTTTATTTTATTTTTTTTTTTTTTTTTGTATGTAATTTTGTGAATCTGAGACTTATTTGCTTTCTTCCTTTCTGGTTTAACCTTTCACTGTGTTCCAGGTACAATCCTTTGTTTTTGTAATGGCCGAAGAAGAAAACCATTATATTGCGTATTTGGAGGATATGTATGAAAACAAAAAGGGCCATAAAAAAGTCAAAGTGAGATGGTTTCATCACAACAGGGAAGTCAAGGGAGTTGTTTCTTTGCGTAACCCTCATCCAAAGGAAGTCTTTATAACTCCATACATACAAGTCATTAGTGCTGAGTGTGTCGACGGCCCCGCCATAGTATTAACACACGAACACTATGAAAAGTGTCTGTCTGTTTTTCCTCAGGATCTATTAGGCCGAGTTCATTTCTGTTTCAAACAATTCAAGAGTAGCAAAATAAGGCCTTTTAAGCTAAGCAAATTGCGCGGGTATTTTGATCAGCCGATTTTCTCATGCTTTAGCCCTGATTTTTTCGATGAAAAGGAGGTCAGCTCCGAGGATGACGTGAAAGCCGGATCCAAAAGAAAAAGAAGTTCCAGAGAGTTCAATAAGTCGAGATATGATTTATCGTACAAGAAATATGATCTAACGAGTCGGGAGCCAAATTTCCTCCTCAAGCACGATGAGGTCCGACTTCAGCATACCCCAGTTTTTGTAGTGAATGAAAAGGTGGAATTCCTTTGTCAAGACAGTGGTCTTCGTGGGTGCTGGTTCAGATGCACAGTCTTAGAGGTCTCCAGGAGACAAATGAAGATTATGTACGATGATATCAAGGATGAGGATAGTTGCAGCAACCTTGAGGTATGCATGGCAATTGTGATACATTTTCTAGTCTTATGGAAGTACTTTTATGCAATGAACTGTAAGCTCATCAGAATCCGTGGGCTTTTCACTTTTAGGTTCATAATGGAAATTCTTGGCTATGACTATTTATTACCAATTACTTATAACAACAATTTAAAAAAAAAAAAATGTTAAAGGAATGGATTCCTACGAATAGAGTGGCGAAGGCCGACAAATTAGGAATGAGACATCCTGGGCGTTCGACCGTGAGGCCCACATACCCTTGCAATGAGGTGGGCCCAAACTTTGAAGTTGGAAATCCGGCTGATGCCTGGTGGAATGATGGATGGTGGGAAGGGGTCATATCTGCCACAAGTGATGATAAAGAAGGTTTTTATGAAATTTACATACCAGGTTTTGTGAGCTGTTGCCAAATCTTCTCAAGTTGTTTCTAATTTCTTGACATCAATGAGGTATTGTGTTCTTATAAAGCTTTTTTTTTTTTATCTTGCTGGTTGGGTATTATCAGGTGAAAATTTGTATCTGAATGTTGAGGTAAAGAACCTAAGAGTTTCGAAAGATTGGGTGTTTGATGGTAGGTGGGTGGATGTCGAGCCAAACCCTCGTATTCTTGGCATCATATCTGCAAATAATATAGACGCAGCCACAGCTGATGATAATTGTCAAACCCCCGATCACAAAGTTGAAGAGGAGGTTCATCACGACTTAGTGGGCAAGATGCTAATAAATGTCCCTTTGAAAGATGAAAGCACCAACAAAGACAAGGAGAATAATTCCGAACATGTTAACAACGAGAAAGAGGAGAATATGGATTGTGACCAGAGAGGTGAAGCAAACAGTGAAGCTGATATTGTGGGAATTAGCGTTGAAGATGGCAGTGGGGACCGCAACTTGGTGGAATGTGAGATTATTGCTGAGCTGGAATCTGAGGGCGAAGCAATGGAAACCCTGACCAGCCATTGACCAAAAAAAAAGACTGTTGATCGGGTTTCATTATATGTGTATGGTGGATCCATAGGGTTTATCAGGTTAAGCAAGAACATAGTTGTATATGATGTTTAGGTCTCGTCTTGTGTTAAGTTTGGTTCATGGTGTCATTTCCTTGATGTTGTACAGGAATGATGTTTCAGATACTTGAAATCGAAGTCAGTTCACCCTTTGTCAGACATGAAAGGAGGAACCTTTATTATTAACTATAGGTCCAACTTGAGGTTTGGAGGTCGTTCGTTCTCTCGTCTACTATGTGTCTGTACGAGTGGGTAGCCCTTTGTGCTATATTTATTGCCCAGCAATTTCATTTTATCATTTTCTTCAAAATCTGGTAAATATGCTACAGGAAAGCTACTATGTGGCATGAAGATTTTGGATTTGAGGTTTCCTCATTTTATGTATGTAAAACATAATACGAAGAAAAATGTATAGATGAGTAGTAGTTAGTAACTAGAGTTTGAGCCACTGCTTGCCTCTTATGAACATGGTATCCAGAAAAGGTCTTGCTTCCCAGTAGCTGAGGGCTTTTGACCATTCTACCCTTCTGCTTCGATCTGCTCCTCTCCCTCTGCATTCGTATTCTCCGTACACCACAGTGCTGTCGAAAAACAACAAAATTACAGATACTTTTATTTTGTATATTGTGCATGCAAATGCAATTGAGAAGAAAATTTTGTGGCACCTTTGTCTAGATGGAACTCTCCAGTCCTCCCATCCTTGTGGCCTCACATCAATGTCGAATTCAGTGTATGAATATATTATCCGCGAGTAATTCCCCCAGGCCCGTCCCAAGTAAATCGGCCCGGTTCCAGTCACCGTACAGTTCAAGAAAGCAAAGCCCGTTTCATCAGTGTCGGAATTGCGGTGTTGGGCTGCTATTGCGTATCCATCACCCACCACCGAGATCCCACACTCCTGATATAGTGACTTTCCATTGCCGAATATAAAATCGATCGAGCCCTGAATGAAACACCGGAAAAAATAGTGGGAGCCCGACTCGTCCAACAGCGTGTCCTGTGAGCCCAAGAATCGAGCCTTATAAAACATCGCCTTTTCAC